TTCTCCTTAATTTTTGTCTTATCTCAGTCTGGGCCAGATGTTAACCAAGTGTCCAATATGTGTTTGGGTAGAGGACCATGAATTTTAGGGGATATACAGAGGAAGCACAAGACATCGATTTGACCTTCAAAAAACATACAGTGTGGCAGGGGAATAAGAATGACACATGAACTTAAGAACAAGAATGGGAAGGAAGAAGTTCATGATTTAGTAGACTATTCATTTACTGTAAACCAGACCTGCGTTTAAAAATTTAATAGCTTTTGAAATCTAGTAGTAATAGAAAGTGCCCATATCAAGGACTGAACATAACTAATACATTTTTAAAAAGCATATTAAAAACTATAAAAGGTATTCAATTATCGGATACTGGCTTTTTGTTTTTTGTTTTTAAATTTTATGCAATCTTTATTTTTGGCCATCATGGCAATTTAGACAATTACAATCATTATACCACTTTTTTTACTTGTGGTAAAATTGATATATAACATTACATTAGTTTCAGGTGTATAACATAATTCAGTCTTTGTATACACTATAAAGTGATCACCACAATAAGTCTAGTTACCATCTGTCACCATACAGCTGATCCCCTTCATCCATTTTGCCCACCCCACAACCTCCTCCCCTCTAATAACCACCAATCTAGTCTCCATATCTATGAGTTTCGTTGTGTTTATTTTGTTTTTTAGATTCTGTATATAATAAGTTAAATAATACAGTACAGGCATACCTTGGAGATATTGTGGGGTCTGTTCCAGATCACTGCAATAAAGCGAATATCTCTAAAGGGAGTCACGAATTTTTTGGTTTCCTAGTATATATAAAAGTTATGTTGATACTGTAGTCTATTAAGTGTGCAAGTCTATTATGAGTCGTAATCTTTTTGCTTTTGGAGAATCTTGTCTTGATATTGATGGCTGCTGACCGATCAGGGTGGTGGTTGCTGAGGATTGGGGTGGCTGTGACAATTTCGTAAAATAAGACAGCAGTGAAGTTTGCCACATCAATTGACTCTTCCTTTTGTGAATGATTTCTCTGTAGCATGCGATGCTGTTTGATAGCATTTTATTCACAGTAGAACTTTCAGAATTGGAGTCAGTGTTCTCAAACCCTGCTGCTGTTTTATAAACTAAGCTTATGTAATATTCTAAATCCTTTGTTGTCATTTCTACAGTCTTCACAGCATCTTCACCAGGAGTAGATTCCATCTCAAGAAACCACGTTGCTCACTTATTAGAAGCAACAACTCATCCATTTAAGTTTTATCATGAGATTGTAGTGATTTGGTCAACATCTTAAGGCTTCACTTCTAATTCTAGTTCTCTTGCTATTTCTACCACATCTGCAGTTACTTCCTCCACTGAAGTCTTGGACCCTCAAAGTCATCCATGAGGGCTGGAAGCAACATCTTCCAAACTCCTGTTTATGTTGCTATTTTGACCTCTTCCCATAAATCACAAATGTTCTTAATGGCATCTAGAATGGTGAATCCTTTTCAGAGGTTTTTAATTCACTTTGCCCAGATCCATCATAGGAATCACAATTTATGGCAGCGATAGCCTTACAAAGTGTATTTCTTAAATAATAAGAGTTGAAAGTCGAAATTACTCCTTGATCCATGGGCTGCAGAACTTCAGGAAATGTTCCTTTGCATTCACAGCTTGGCTAATTGTTTGCTTCTGGCCCACCTTGGCTTTCAGCATGCCTTCCTCACTAGGCTTAATCATGTCTCGCTTTTGATTTAAAGGGAGAGATGTGCAACTCTTCACTTGAACACTTAGAAGCCACTTTAGAGTTCTTAATTGGCCTAATGTCAGTATTGTTGTGTCTCAGGGAATAGGGAGGGCCAAGGAGAGGGACAGAGATGGGGTAATGGCCCATCAGGGGGGCAGTCAGAACACACACTTATTGAATAAATTCACTGTTTGATACGGTGCTGTGTGTGGCTCCCCTAAGCAGTTACAATAGTAACATCAAAGATCACTGATCACAGATCACCATAACAAATAATAATGAAAAAGTTTGAAATATGGCAAGAATTACCAAAATGTGACACAGAGACACGAAGTGAACAAATGTTGTTGGAAAAATGGCTCTGACAGACTTGTTCAACACAGGGCTGCCACAAACCTTCAATTTGTAAAGAACATAATATCTGCAAAGCACAGTGATGCAAAGGGCTATAAAAGTGTGCCTGTATTTGTCTTTCTCTGCCGGACTTATTTCACAGCAAAATCAAGGTTCATCCATGTTGTCACACATGGCAATATTTCATTCCTTCTTATGGCTGGATAATATTCGTGTGTGTGTAGGGGGTGTGTGTATTACATTTTCTTTATCCGTTGATAGACACTTAGGTTGCTTCCATATCTTGGCTATTGTAAATAATACTGCAATGAACCTGAGGGTGCATATATCTTTTTGAGTTAGTGTTTTCATTTTCTTTGGATAAATACCCAGAAGTGGAATTGCTGGATTATATGGTAGTTTTTAATTTTTTGAGGAAGCAGTGTACCGTTTTCTACAGTGGCTGTACCGTTTTACATTCCCACCTACAGTGCACAAGGGTTCCAATTTCTCCACATCCTTGCCAACACTTTTTATTGTGCTTTTTTTTTTTAAAGATTTTTTATTGGGGAATTGGGGGATGGGAACAGCACTGGGGAATTGGGGGAAGGGGAACAGACAAGTTGCTGTTGTCTTTTTCTTCAGTCTAGTTGTG